GCCAGCACCCGGAGCGCGCCTCCCGGGCCCTGCCCCCGGGCTCTGGCCCCGGCGAGGTCCCCACCAGCCGCGCCTTGTCCTCGGGGACCCTCCCGGGCCCCGGGGATGAGGCCAACCGGGTGTTGGAAAGTTACTGCTAGGTGGCGGGATTCCTGTGCTGTTCGGCTAGCGTGTATTTGTTGAGGGCAAACTGTGTGCCAGGCCCCGTGGGGCGGGGGTTCGCTGGGGAGATGGGGGAGAATTAAACAGACAAGGCCCCTGCCCTCCTGGAGATCACAACTGAGTGGACTGTGAAACAAAACTCAAGTTGCACACATGGTGTGGAATGGCCTAAGGGAAATCAGAAGGGCGCCTAGGGTGATCTGGGGGGCAATCTCGGAGGAGGTGACAGCTAAGCCATACTTGAAAGGGGTGAAGGAGACAACATTGGGAAGAACTGAAGGACAAGATTATAAGCAGAAGGAACAGCTCCCAAAGGAGCCTGGCATGGCTGGAGCGGAGTAGGGCAGAGCCAAGAGATGGGGAGAGACGTGGACAGGGCTATCAGAGTCGGGACTTGAGTCCAGGTGCCCTGAAGATGTCTAAGATAGGGTGTCTCGTGGGCTGCTCACGTTTTAACCAGATCCCTGTCTGCTTTGTGGGGATTTCTAGGGTCAAGGGTGGAAGCCAGGAGCCCAGTGAGGAGGGGACTCAGGCAAGGAGTGATGATGGCTGGACCGGGATGGAGGCCAGGAGGGGGGTGAAGTGGTTGGACCGTGGAGCTGTTTCAAGGTAGAGCTGCGAGGTTTTGTGATGGATCACACGACGAAGGGGGAGCAAGTATGAAGGGGGAGACTGGGTTCAGGGTGGGGGCAGCAAAGATGCGCTCTGGACATACTACGCTGGCATTGTCTGGGGCATACCCAAGGGAGCTGGGTGTGAGGGTCTGCAGCTCTCTGGAGACATGAGAGTAGGAAGGGAATGTGAGAGGCCCTGGGATCCAAAGAGGATACAACATGGAGATAGAAACAGGCAATCCAAGGCAGGTCTCAGAGCTGAAACTGTATATTCAGAGTAGCCAGGACCACCGTGGGCTGGGGAGTGAGGACGCATGTCTCCACCCTCCTGTGATGGGTGGCACCTGGGAATGGGGAGAATGGGGGGAAGCTGACAGCCTCATTGTGGCTGACCACCTGTACATATGTGCAAGACCCTCCCTCCTAAATCTTCCCCACACCTACACTTGGACTCAGAATCGGGGTGTTGCCGAGTATTTTCCCTGGGGTTCCCTACCTGAACTCAGAGCCTTTACAAGCTTGTGGTCCTGTTGGGTTCTGGTGGAGTGGAGGCCTTAGGGCAAGGCCCTTATAAATAAAGCATGAGAAGCAGTTGCTTTTTTCTTTCTGGAGTGGAGAATCTTCTTGGCCAGGTCACAAAGGGCTATGACTGTGGCAGGCAGCATGGCTGGGTGGGGCCTGTGGTAGACTTGTTCTACTTCAGCCACATGTGGCCACAAGAAAATGGGGACACTAGCCGGGCATGGTGGCTCATGCCTGGAATCCCAGCACTTTGGGAGGCCGAGGTGAGAGGACTACCTGAGCCCAGGGGTTCAAGACCATCCTGGACAACTTGGCGAGATCTCGTCTCTACAGTAAATCGAAGATTTAGCCGGGCATGGTGGTGTGTGCCTGTAGTTCCTGCTACTTGGAAAGCTGAAGTGGGAGGACCACCTGAGCTCAACAGGTTGAGGCTGCGGTGGCCATGAGCGTGCACTGCCTTCCAGCCTGGGCGACAGTGAGACTCCAACAACAAAAAATAATGAAGACACTGTACCGCTGCTGTTCTCCCTGCCTAAGAGAATCCTCAATTGGCCATCTCACATATAATCTGATACTTAACTATTATTTGTAACATATACAGATTAAAATTGTAAGCAAGAGCAGGTTATGTCCAACTTGTTGACGGCTGCTTCTCTAGAAGGGTAAAGCAAAGCAGTAGGAACCAGACTGGTTCATATCTTAGTTTGGCTAATTTATGAGCTGTTTGACTTGGGGAAAAGTCCAATTCTCTGCACCTTAGCTTCCGCTTCTGGAAAATGGGTATGACGGCACCTGCCTCCTGGGATGGCCTGAGATTCCAGAGTTACCCTCAGCACACAGCCTGGTGCCCGATCAACCCTTGGCCTGGCGCTGTTCCTGCAACCTCTGCTCCTGCTTTCACCCCTGCAACTATAAACCACTTGGGCAGCGGGTGGGTGATGAGTTGAGGGAGGAAACTCAGACTGATGCCCAGGAGGGTGCCCAGGACTGGAATCTTTGAGGCCAACCTGCAAGGCAGTGAAACCTTTCCATTTCCAGTGAGTACAGGTCAACAGCTGAGAAAAGCAGGGCAGGATCGGATCCGGGGCCTGTGATGTCAGGGCTTGTGCTGTTCCTGCTCTTGCCTAAGAATCCCGGGGGCAACCTCCTATGGTGGCACCACTGTCCTGACTTGACAGTTTAAGATGTGGTAGCTCCATCCTGCTCCCAGACAGTTGAGACTGTTCATGTGGGCCTGGCTCCCTAGGTTTGGATGCAGCTCCTTTTTTTTTTTTGAGTTGGAGTCTCACTCTGTCGCCCAGACTGGAGTGCAGTGGCCGCTCCCAGCCACTGCAGCCTCGACCTGCTGGGCTCCGGAGATCCTTCTGCCTCAGCCTTTCGAGTAGCCGGAATTACAGGCGCGCGCTACCACGCCCGGCTAATTTTTTTTTGACTTGTTGTAGAGATGAGGTCTCGCCTGCCCAGGTGGGTCTCGAACCCGCGGGCTCAGGCAATCCATTCACCTCAGCCTCCCAAAGGCACGGGATTACAGGCTGAGCCACCGAGCCCGGCTTGCAGCTCCTTTTTTTCTTAACTGGGTGACCCTGGACGAGTCACTTACCCTCTTTGGGCCTCCACTGTCTCATTTATAAAATGGGATAGCTCTGCATGGTTGTTCCAATCAGTGGTAAATGCACACCTTTATAGCCTTTCAGCCATCAGCCTGCATCAGGCCATCCCCTGCTGCAGCGTCCCGGTCCTGCCACTCGCAGACTCACGTAACTCAGGCTGTGCCTCCCACAGCTCAGAGTGTGCCCAACATCTGACTGAGTTCTCACTGACTTTAGGCCTTCAAGCTCCCACACCTGCCTGGGGTTTGCCTATACCCAGAGGACAGAGATAAAGAGACATGGGGGAACACACTGTGTGTGTCGGGGCAGGACAGGGATCTTCCCTAATCCCCCGAAACATGAGGCCTCCCTTTCCCACCTCTACCTAATTCCCCATGTTTGTCAGATAACGCCTCTAAAGGGTCATGAAGTAGCAAAGGAGCAGCAGAGATGGGGTGAAGCCACAGGTTTGGGAGGTGGGTCTGAATCATAGCATCACCACATCCTGGCTGGGGCACCCTGGGAAGTGACATCACCTCTCTGGCCCTCAGTTCCCTCTTCTGGAAAATGAAGGTAATAAATAACAGGCCTGCCTTAGAGTTGTCAGAAATACACCTGGAAAGCCTGAGCCTGGTCCCTTAACAGCGCAGCAGGTATTAGCCACAATCACCCTCACAATTTGGACAGCAACTGCTGTACGTGCACACACATTCCTCCCATTTGTGAGGATATGTCGGGCGCTCCCGTGGGTATGCCTGTGTCCCCAGCACTACAACATAGGACTGGGCACAGAGGAGGCATTTGGGGATGTTTGCAGACAGAATGGGGGAAAAAATACTAAAAGATAATTCCAACTCACTGAGGCCAACTCACTGAGAGAGGCAAGGAGAAGGAAGAGACAAGAAGCTAGAAAAGATTAAAATTGACTACTTGGAAGGCTGAGGCGGAAGGATTGCCGGAGCCCAGCAGGTCGAGGCTGCGGTGGCCGGGAGCGGCCACTGCACTCCAGTCTGGGCGACAGAGTGAGACTCCAACTCAAAAAAAAAAAAAAAAAAAAAAAAAAAGATTAAAATTGAAGAGGGAGCTGAGGGAGCTAAAACTTCCTCCAGCATCACCAATGAGAGGTCATTTCCTTCCAACCCGTGTGCTCTGTGGATGGGGAAAGTGAGCCTGGACTGGCAGAGATGGGTCCTGGTCCCAGCACTCAGCTCTGCACCCAGCTGCTCCCTCCCTCCCTCCTGAGTCAGCCCCACTCACAAGCCCCTGGGCAGACAGATACCACTAGAAAAAAAACACAGGGCTTTATTATTCCTATCACAAAGGGCAAGTCTTCGTAGGGCGGGGAGCGAGCTGTCGGTGGGAGGAGGCCCCTACTTGCCAGCGATGAGCGGGTTCCGCAGGACCACAATGACAGAGTCCCCGCGCAGGAACATCTTAGAGATGTAGCGATCCTTGTTGACTGGCTTGGACTTCTTCTTGCCCTTGCCGCTCTTGGGGACCTCGGTCCACATCTCCTTCACGTTCTCCAGCACCATGTTGCAGTGCCTGGTGGGGTCAGGGGGTGGGGAGGCACCAGCAGTGAGGGGGAGCCTTCTGACACCCCTCCTCTGCCCGGCACTGCTGCCCTCCCCCAGCTTGGGGAAAGGTGCAGAGGCCCTAGGCCAGGATGGCCAGGCTCCCAACGCCAAGGTTGAGGCTCAGGCAGAGGACTCCACTCCTCTGTGCCAGTGTTCTCTTCTCTAAATGGGAGACAGCCACGGTGCCTTCCTCCCAGGGCTGCTGTGAAGACTGAATGAATTAGCATACATTTTGGTGAAGACTTAGAACGGAGCCTGACACAGGGTAAGGGGCAGGCAACATGGTTCTGCGTGTGCCTTTTAACCTGAAGAATGTAGGGAGGCAGCAACAAAGAAGCTGCTTCTCTCTGGAGACCCAGAGGCTCCTGGGTGTTAAGGCTTGAGGTGTCACTTGACACCCCCACTTCAGTCCTGCTTTGTCCCTGTCCTCAGGGACCCAGTGTGATGACAGCATGGATGTGCTCATTCAACAAACTCTTGCTGAACATGTACAACATGCACTGCATGAAATGCAGAGGGTAGGCAACAAACAGACCACAACCCTGTCCCCACAGGGTCTGCATCCTAGAGAGGGGAGAAAAATGACAGACGAATAAACACAGATCTGCAGGACACTGTCAGGTGCTGGTAACTGTTAGGAAGAAAATTCCTTTTTTTTTTTTTGAGTCAGAGGCTCACTCTGTCACCCAGGCTAGAGTGCAGTGGCATGCTCATGGCCACCCCAGTGTCGACCTGCTGAGCTCTGGTGATCCTTCCACCTCAGCCTTCCAAGTAGCTGGAACCACAAACATGCGCCACCATACCCACCTAATTTTTTGATTTACTGTAGGGACGAGGTCTCACCAAGTTGCCCAGGCTGGTCTCAAACTCCTGGGCTCAGGCAATCCTCTCCCCTTGGTGGAAGAAAAATTAAAATTAAAGGTGGGTCAAGGGATAGAAGAAGATGGAGGAAAGGAGGAAAGGAGTACAAGGTGATTAGCAGGGACAGAAAGACATGAGGAAGAGGTAGAAACATGGGGAGGGCGGAAGAGGAAGGAAGGATAGGGGCAGATGCAGGAAACACAGCTGTTAAAGAGGCTGCTGGTTTAACCAAGCCAAAGTACATACTGATGGAAATATTACTGTGTGATAAGAAAAATAAAGAAGAATAAAGAAAAATAAAGAGAAGTGCTCTATGCTGTGATATGGAATAACCTCCAGGAGATATAATGGAGAGAAAAGGGGAGGAAAATAAGTCGTATTTAGTAGGAAAAAAGTGGGGGAGGGGAAGCATCTACACTGCCCACCTGCTTGTACAAGACTGAATCCTTGAGGATACCTAGAGTGGTGGCAGGTAAACTGGGGACAGAAAGTGACAGAAACTGTTCACTGGACTTTTATGTTTTTTTGAGTTGGAGTCTTACTCTGTCGCCCAGCCTGGAGTGTAGTGGCATGCTCATGGCCACTGCAGCCTTGACCTGCTGGGCTCAGGTGATCATTCCTGATTGATTATTGCCACTGTACAAACAAGATAGTCACTTGCTGAAAGTCCCTGGCTGCTAAGAGGCAGAGGTGGACATGAACCCAGGTGGGCTGGCCCCCAAATACATGCCCAAAACCACTGCACTACACACACCGGGGGGCAATGAGAGACAGTCACACCTTGGGGTTTTAGGTACACACTTCAGGCTTCTGAGAAACCTCATCTTCAGGCTCCTCAGATCAGAACTGGGGCTGCTTCTTCAGGTCAGGACAGAACCCCACCCAAGACCCAGCACTCACCTGTCGAAGGCCTTCACACGTCCCAGGAGTTTCTTGTTGTTGCGACAGTTGATGAGCACTTGGGTGTTGTTCTTGACAGACTGTGTGAGCACAGAGAGTGGACCCGTGTTAAATTCTTCTTCTTCTCGCTTCTGCAGCTCCTCTGGGGTCATCTCACTCTTGGGCTTGTTGAGGAGGCTCCTGAATGACAAGTATGGAACCCATAGGTGAGAGGAGTTGGGAGTGTGGGTGGTCAGGGCCATGCCCTCAGTGCCTCCCCAATCTTTACCCAACACCCATCCTCCTGCTCAGCCTTCTCTCCTGGAATCACCAACTGGATGTCTAACAGGCATTTTCAACTTTGCATGTGCAGATGGAGCTCCAGATCGCCCAGCCACCCAGAACCTACTCTACCCATAGTGTTCTCCATCTCCACCGATGATCACTCCATTTTTCTAGTTCTTGGGCAAGAACTCTGATGTCAACTTGTTTCCTCTCTTTCTCGCTCCCTATATCAAATCTGACAGCAAATGGCCATTTTTTAAGCCATCATCTCTCTTGGAGTCTTACTGTCTCTCTGCTTTCACCCATAGTCTCTGACAGCTTGTTCTCCACAGTGCGGTCTGAGGGGTCTTGCTAAAACCTAAATATCATGTCACTCTTTAAATATCTCCCACAAGCCTAGGCAACACGAGAGACCTCATCTATTAAAAATTAATAAAAAATAAGCTAGGTGCAGTGGCTCATGCCTGTAATCCCAGCACTTTGGGAGGCGGAGGCAAGAGGACTGCCTGAGCCTATGGGCTCAAGACCAGCCTGGGCAACTTGGCAAGACCTCGTCTCTACAATAAATCGAAAAATTAGCCAGGCATGGTGGCGCAACCATGTCGTACCAGCTACTTGGAAGACAAGCGGAAGGATCACCGGATCCCAGCAGGTCGAGGCTGAGGCGGCCATGAGCATCCCACTGCACTCTAGCCTAGGCAAGAATGAGACTCCAACTAAAAAAAAAAAAACATTAGCCAGGCATGGTGGTGCACACCTATAGTCCCAGCTACTTGGAAGGCTGAGGCAGAGCCCAGCAGGTCACCTGAGCCCAACAGGTGTGACTGCACTCCAGCCTGGGCTACAGAGTACGACTCTGACTCAAAAAAAAAAAAAAAAAAAAAAAAAA